CTCGAAGCAGGACCAATTCCCAGTTAAATCATCCCAGCCAGGGCTTTGTCAAGCCTGACCTTAAAAACCTCTAAGGAAGGAGATTCTACCACCTCCCTAGGTAACGCATTCCAGTGTTTCACCACCCTCTTAGTGAAAAAGTTTTTCCTAATATCCAATCTAAACCTCCCCCACTGCAACTTGAGACCATTACTCCTCGTTCTGTCATCTGCTACCATTGAGAACAGTCTAGAGCCATCCTCTTTGGAACCCCCTTTCAGGTAGTTGAAAGCAGCTATCAAATCCCCCCTCATTCTTCTCTTCTGCAGGCTAAACAATCCCAGCTCCCTCAGCCTCTCCTCGTAAGTCATGTGTTCTAGACCCCTAATCATTTTTGTTGCCCTTCTCTGGACTCTCTCCAATTTATCCACATCCTTCTTGTAGTGTGGGGCCCAAAACTGGACACAGTACTCCAGATGAGGCCTCACCAATGTCGAATAGAGGGGAACAATCACGTCCCTCGATCTGCTCGCTATGCCCCTACTTATACATCCCAAAATGCCATTGGCCTTCTTGGCAACAAGGGCACACTGCTGACTCATATCCAGCTTCTCGTCCACTGTCACCCCTAGGTCCTTTTCCGCAGAACTGCTGCCTAGCCATTCGGTCCCTAGTCTGTAGCGGTGCATTGGATTCTTCCATCCTAAGTGCAGGACCCTGCACTTATCCTTACTGAACCTCATCAGATTTCTTTTGGCCCAATCCTCCAATTTGTCTAGGTCCTTCTGTATCCTATCCCTCCCCTCCAGCGTATCTACCACTCCTCCCAGTTTAGTGTCATCTGCAAACTTGCTGAGAGTGCAATCCACACCATCCTCCAGATCATTTATGAAGATATTGAACAAAACCGGCCCGAGGACCAACCCTTGGGGCACTCCACTTGTTACTGGCTGCCAACTAGACATGGAGCCATTGATCAGTACCCTTTGAGCCCAACAATCTAGCCAGCTTTCTATCTACCTTATCGTCCATTCATCCATCCCATACTTCTTTAACTTACTGGCAAGAATACTGTGGGAGACCGTGTCAAAAGCTTTGCTTAAATCAAGGAACAACACATCCACTGCTTTCCCCTCATCCACAGAGCCAGTTATCTCATCATAGAAGGCAATTAGATTAGTCAGGCATGACTTGCCCTTGGTGAATCTATGCTGACTGTTCCTAATCACTTTCCTCTCCTCTGAGTGCTTCAGAATTGATTCCTTGAGGACCAGCTCCATGATTTTTCCAGGGACTGAGGTGAGGCTGACTGGCCTGTAGTTCCCAGGATCCTCCTCCTTCCCTTTTTTAAAGATGGGCACTACATTAGCCTTTTTCCAGTCATCTGGGACTTCCCCCAATCGCCATGAGTTTTCAAAGATAATGGAATCACATTACTCTGCAATCACATCCGCCAACTCCTTTAGCACTCTCGGATGCAGCGCATCCGGCCCCATGGACTTGTGCTCATCCAGCTTTTCTGGATAGTCCCAAACCACTTCTTTCTTCACAGAGGGCTGGTCACCTCCTCCCCATACTGTGCTGCCCAGTGCAGTAGTCTGGGAGCTGACTTTGTTCGTGAAGACAGAGGCAAAAAAAGCATTGAGTACATTAGCTTTTTCCACATCCTCTGTCACTAGGTTGCCTCCCTCATTCAGTAAGGGGCCCACACTTTCCTTGACTTTTCTTGTTGCTAACATACCTGAAGAAACCCTTCTTGTTACTCTTAACATCCCTTGCTAGCTGCAACTCCAGATGTGATTTGGCCTTTCTGATTTCACTCCTGCATGCCCGAGGAATATTTTTATACTCTTTCCTGGTCATTTGTCCAGTCTTCCACTTCTTGTAAGCTTCTTTTTTGTGTTCAAGATCAGCAAGGATTTCACTGTTCAGCCAAGCTGGTCGCCTGCCATATTTACTATTCTTTCTACACATTGGGATGGTTTGTCCCTGTAACCTCAATAAGGATTCTTTAAAATACAGCCAGCTCTCCTGGACTCCTTTCCCCCTCATGTTATTCTCCCAGGGGTTCCTGCCCATCAGTTCCCTAAGGTTGTCAAAATCTGCTTTTCTGAAGTACAGGGTCCGTATTCTGCTGCTCTCCTTTTTTCCCTGTGTCAGGATCCTGAACTTGACCATCTCATGGTCACTGCCTCCCAGGTTCCTCTCCACTTTTACTTCCCCTACTAATTCTTCCTGGTTTGTGAGCAGCAGGTCAAGAAGAGCTCTGCCCCTAGTTGGTTCCTCCAACACTTGCACCAGGAAATTGTCCCCTACACTTTCCAAAAACTTCTTGGATTGTCTGTGCACCGCTGTATTGCTCGCCCAGCAGCTATCAGGGTGATTGAAGTCTCCCATGAGAACCAGGGCCTGCGATCTAGTAACTCCCATTAGTTGCCGGAAGAAAGCCTCGTCCACCTCATCCCCCCCGATCCGGTGGTCTATAGCAGACTCCCACCACGACATCACCCTTGTTGCTCACACTTCTAAACTTAATCCAGAGACACTCAGGTTTTTCTGCAGTTTCATACCGGAGCTCTAAGCAGTCATATTGCTCTTACATACAGTGCAACTCCCCCTTTTCTGCCCTGCCTGTCCTTCCTGAACAGTTTATATCCATTCATGACAGTACTCCAGTCATGTGAGTTATCCCAACAAGTCTCTGTTATTCCAATCACATCATAATTCCTTGTCTGTGCCAGGACTTCCAATTCTCCCTGCTTGTTTCCCAGGCTTCTTGCATTTGTGTATAGGCACTTGAGATAACTTGCTGTTTGTCCTGCTTTCTTAGTATGAGGCAGGAGCCCTCCCCTTTCACGTTCTCCTGCTCATGCTTCCTCCCAGTATCCCACATCCCCACTTACCTCAGGGCTTTGGTCCCCTTCCCCCAGTGAACCTAGTTTAAAGTCCTCCTCACTAGGTTAGCCAGCCGGCTTCCAAAGATGCTCTTCCCTCTCTTCATTAGGTGGAGCCCGTCTCTGCCTAGCACTCCTCCTTCTTGGAACAACATCCCATAGTCAACGAATCCAAAGCCTTCTCTCCGACACCACCTGCGTAGCCATTCGTTGACTTCCACGATTCGATGGTCTCTACCCAGGCCTTTTCCTTCTACGGGGAGGATGGACAAAAACACCACTTGTGCCTCAAACTCCTTTATCCTTCTTCCCAAAGCCACATAGTCTGCAGTGATCCGCTCAAAGTCATTCTTGGCAGTATCATTGTTGCCCACTCAGAGAAGCAGGAAGGGGTAGCAATCCAAGGGCTTGATGAGTCTCGGCAGTCTCTCTGTCACATCGTGAATCCTAGCTCCTGGCAAGCAGCAGACTTCTTGGTTTTCCCTGTCATGTGAGCAGAGTCATACAATGTAACGTCAGAAGGTACCGCTGGATCATCAAATCTGACTTTCTGCATATCAGAGGCCACCAACACCGCCAAGCGCCCACACACTAAACCCGGCAATGGATATGAGACCAAAGTAAATGAGACCCATAGGAAACTACACTATGATGTGCCACAGTCACAGAATAGGAAGGACCAAGGTTCACCAGTACTTGAGGCTTCTGCATTGACAGGGAAATGATTAAATGAGAGGTACCCAGATAATCCTGGCAAGAGATCCACACAAACATGCTGCAGAGGAACATCAAAAAACCCCAGAGGTTTTGCTCATCTAATCTGGGGGGAAATTCCTTCCCAGTCCCTCATATGGCAATCGGTTAGACCTGAGCATGTGCACAAGAAACAACCAGCCTAGTCTTGCATAGGTCTGTTCTTCAGAGATCAAGCTGAGTGACTTAAACGTGAAGGGCACTCCAAATAAAGAACCCACTGCCAAAGTGTGGGTCAGGCTGCCTGTGTATAGTTCATATCCACAATCTAGACTGATAGAAGAAGACAGTAGATTAAGTACAGGAAAGATGAACCTATTTGGGAACAGATCAGTGTATTATTTAAGCTTGTTAGTTAAAAGAACTAGTCAAAAAATGGGGGGAGAGAGATTGCTGTCAGAAACTTTCAGCTTTTTGTTGAAAAATAAAATTTTTGGTTGAAAACCAAAGGTATTTTGTTTCTCAGTTTTTCAATGAAAAGTCAAAATGATTCCATGAAACTAGATTCTTTTTGTGAAAAATTTCATTTAATCAAACCCTATTTTTCATAAAAACCCAGTTTTGACTGAAAATGGTAAAATAGCCTTATTTATTAAGCTTTGTACGAGCATCTGAAATTATAGATGCTTATATAAATTGAGTATTCAGAAATATTCACTTATTCTGTATGTCTCTGTTTTGGGTGTTCAGCAACACACACCAGGGTGTCTCCTGTTAGGCACCCAAAAATGAGGCTTTCAGAATTAGTGGCCATTTCAGAAATGTTGTCATCAGTAAATTAGTGAGCCAATGTCTCTTGGCAAGGGAATGTAAGACATGAAAAGGGTAAAGAGATTCAAAATAGTTGGTATCTTCAGAAGAATAAGAGAGCTATGCATTTTCAAAACCTTTGAAGACCAGGTACATGATATCTCAAGCTAGACACACAAAAACCAAGGCACACAAAATTACTGGACACTTCTGAAAGTTTGACCATACATTTTTGTTGTTCATACTTATGTTCTTTATCTTTTTAAAAATTTTGACCTTTAACATGATTTCTCTAAAAGTGTTGAGATGGGTACACTGATGGGCACACCAATGCTGGAAAGTTTGGACTTCTATTATTTAAGTTAACTTTGTTCTATGGATACATAGATGATTGCAGTTTCTAGTACTCCTAATACAGATTTTGACTTAAGCAATAACATTTTCTTTAATGCAAAAAATGAATGTTGAATCTGAAGAAACCTTATTGATGATGAAATGCAGAAGCATAAACAAATGAATCAACCAAGTATTTTGTCCTAGTATGTCGATTGATGGTTATAGAATTGAATGTGTTTTTGTTTTCCAGTATAATTGTACTGTATTTTATTTGTGTGTTTATTTTAGGCACAGAAGGGGCAGTGTTTGGGCACTCTGTGGAGACACCCCATATCAGAGCAGAACCTTCCCAAGACCTCAAGTAGGTGTTCGTTAAGAGTTATTTAAAATTTATTTTTTCCCAACACCAATTAAGAAATCGATTTTTATTTTTTATTTATAAAGTAATCTATATCATTTAGGCCATTAATGTATGTATATATATATATATATTCTATTGGCCTGTTCCTGGTATATCAAAACAGCCACAGACTTCACCTACAACAGAAGGTATCACAGTCAGAGAGAAAAATATCCTGTATCATATGATATGCACACCCCTTTACTTTTTATAATGTAACTTTCTCCAGTGCCAGACTAATCTAAATCATAGAGTTTGGGGTTCGTACACACACTATACCTTTTGGAACAGGCTTTTAAAAAAAAAAAAGTCCTGTTCAATACAGTGCTGTCTCGCAGCATGAAGCCCAGATCCTGTTTGTTTGAGCTATTGCAGGAGATAAAAGCCAAAATGTCAACAGAAAGTAAACAGCCTCAGGCTTATCTTTCAAACAATACTTCTAGGGGGTTTTTAAAGGTGTTTTTGCTTTCTTCAGGAATTCATTTTTAAGTAAGCCAGTCCACCTCTCAAAATGTATTCAAAGTCATTCTGAGATGGTTGCATGTGTATATGGATGTGTATGCATAAGTAAATTGTAAAAGGACAAAATCCAAAGTTTACTAGAGTCTAAAAGACCAAGAAAAAGATTATTTAGAATGACTTGCCAATGTAGGCCTTTTCATAAAGTTTATATGTGATTTCAGTGGTAGGTATTAATAATTTACACTAAATGATGGAGAGATGAAATTTAATTGTGAAACAAACAATCATAGTAGAATCTAAGGATTTTTTGTGATCTTTCCTCGCTTTACTTACATCAAAGTTGACTGCAACTCTTCCATGGTTTCTGCACATTATAAACCCTTCTTGCTATCCTGCCTAGCAACATTTACAGTGCCAGCTGTTCACTGGCTTCCAGAAGGAGGTTAGATGAAGCCCCCTCCATGCATTTAAAAAAAACATCAACCTAATATTGACTTCAGTGTGGCTTTGCATAGCCGTACAGCATGCAGGATTGGGGCCTTTATTTTTTTCCCCCCTCTCTCTCAGAAAATGGAAGTGTCTGACCAAAACTGAGCATTTAAACAGAACATTTTAAACTTAATGCAAGGCTTTTGGGGGTGGGGGGGCTCCAGAGAGTGCAACACTCTTTCCCCCCCATCCCTCCCCTCTGCCAAAGGCTGTTGTCTGTTGTTAAAAGTAGTTGTTGTCTACAGTAACCAGGTGGCAGGATTGCTAAAAGCGAGGAGGGCAGCAGAGACAGAAGAGAAAACACAAGAAGCTGCTGCTGTTTCAAAAAGGCATAACCAGCAGCAACAGTCTTGTGTGAGGGAGAAGTGGTACTTTTGCCACCCTAAAGAATATGGAGGATAGAAGCAGACGTACTTTGCCAACATGCAGTATCCTGGATGTGATCTTAAGGGTTCATTTGAGTAGGGCTGTATCTCCCTGTTGCCTGTGTGCATGCAAATTGCATTATCATTTATTTGCCATCACAACCCATTGCAAACTTGCATCTAAATTTCAGTCTACTATCAACTCTAGTTCTCTTTCGGCATTTATCTTGTCCGTGCTTCTCCTTCCCACTGACTATCTGCCAAACCAACCATTCCCTCAAATCATTTGTTATTACACATGCTGCAATTAATGGGAATTCCTCAACATTCTTCAGCTTGCCTTTCCCTCTTCTTCTGACATCAGATTGATTTAGAGACAACTCAAAGAAGGACGATTCAGCACGAATCATCATCAAATAAGACATTTATGAAACTGAAATAACTCCTACTGTGCACATAAGAATTCGTCAACAGCATTAACTTATGATTAAATTATTTTATTCTTCATTTATTGAATATGTATTATGCTCTGTTAGCTACCCCTAAATGTTCACTGCTATGTATTCATTAGGGTTCAGGGTTATTGCATTTGAAACCTCTGAAGTCATCTAAACAAAGTCAAGTTATCAACCTCTGGAATTAGGATTTTATGAAAGATGACAATATAAGTCTTATATAAGACAATATAAGTTAGTCTAGCACAGAAGATACTGGACAATTTATTAAATAATGACCTTGTATATGCAGCAGAATCCACCACTGAAACTAGAAGGTAAAATTATGACCATGTTTACTAGAGATGAGACTGAACTACAAAATTGGATGTGAACCCAGATTTTGACACCCACTAAATTAAGGTAGGTTTTTTTTTTTTTTTTTCCAAATCTGACATTTTGGCTCAGCTCATTACAGACAAAAGGACTGGTTGCAGAATTCAGCTCTGAAGCTTGGTTCATCCTCTGAACAGTGTCATCCCCACCAAAATGTAAGGGTGTTCAGACTTTGGCCCATCTCTAATATTTGCTATTAAAATGCTCCTTTTAAAAATCATACAAAATGCAGCTTTAAAACAACTGCATATTTGTCCCCTCTTCTGTGTTGATTTTTCCTTACATTTTTTTCCAAATCTAACCAGCCAGCTTTTGCTAGCAAAATGTTTTCCTACAATCCTTTGTGAAAGCTGATAAACCCCTTTAGATCAAGTCCATTGCCTAAAATATAATTGAATCTGACTTTCATTAACTAAAACATGCAGAATAAAAGAATTGTGCTTTAGAATGAGCAAAATGAATTACATTTTAATAATTAAATCTCCAGATTTCCATTGATACCTTTTCTCACTAGAATGCTGTGAAGGAACTAAACTACCAAGATTATAGCCCCAAAGTACTGGCTTTAATGATGGTAATGCATTAAAACATGGTGCACTAATGGGTAATATCTATGCACAAAAGAGGCAGCCAATGGTTATATGCTGATAGCTATGCCCTGAATCACCTTCTTAATAAGGGGGTAAATTACTTTGTTGTTGTTTCCTACCTCTGGGGAGAACTAGAAGATCAAATTTAATAGCTTTTTTTTCTTCTATGTCAAGGCTAGTATACCATTGACTATTAGCTAATCCTGAAAGCTAGTGCTGGGCATAATGAGATGGAAATTGATCAAGCAGCAAGAAACAGATAAAGCCCGTAAGATTTCATTTTGACTCTGATCAGTATCGAAGATACACAAATCCCACAGAATGGTTTTATATTTTCCACAAAGCTACAAACACAGGACATCTCTAAGAACCTTTTTTCTAAAAGGTTGTAGTAGGTAGCATGCTAACATAGCAGTGTGTCCATTTTGTAAAAGCTTGAGGCCAGAGAAGGGGTCACACAGTTTTGTCATTGAAATGATGAAGGTTGAGAGAAGCTAGGCTGAGAAGCTATTTAAAGTTGGCAGGAGAGGCGTGATCTTCTGTTCATGCATCTTTTGTTCATTCTTTTCATCCAGGAAAAGCTAACAAACCAATCTTCAACACAAAAGAGAAGATGCTATAGCCTGAGACAGTCCAAGCCCCTGCTTTTTTAAAATTATTTTTTGTAGAACGTTAATGGCTATAAACTATTGCCAGTCTCTCAAGCTATGACCAGACGGATTTTAGTGACTTTCTCGTTCTCTGACTTTTTTTCACAAATTGGTTTCCTTCCCAAGTTGATCTCACCTTCAGATAATCAGTATTTAAACTGATATGTTCCTGTGTTGATACAAATCTGTTTTTCTAATCATATCTCTAATTGGTGAGAATAACTTCCTTATATTTATACTTACAGACGGGGGTGTGTGTGTGTATGTATGTGTGCACCATGACCATGTCCCCCTGTATGCTCCATTTTCCCTGGTTAGTATGACAAGCTCCTGTTACTTCTGACCTTTTTTTAAATTGACAAAGAGCTTCCATTATATGTCCCTGTTTTTATATGCTTACATTTTTTCAGAAACATTCACCTCTTGGATTGATGTTTAGGACCCATAGCGTAAGCCCAGAGATGACTATTCTTTGAAAAATATGGCCCAACTCCTTTCTGCAAACATCAAGAGGATAATAAGGTGATAAGTAACAGCATGGATTTGTCAAAAACAAATCACGTCAAATCCACCTGATAGCTTTCTTTGACAGAGTAACAAGCCTTGTGGATGGGGGGAAAGTAGTAAACGTGGTATATCTTGACTTTAATAAAGCTTTTGATACTGTCTCTCATGACCTTCTCATAAACAAACTAAGGAAATGCAACCTAGATGGAGCTCCTATAAGATGGGTGCAAAACTGGTTGGAAAACCGTTCCAAAGAGTAGTTATCAGCGGTTCACAATCATGCTAGAAGGGCATAATGAGTGGGGTCCTGCAGGGATCAGTTCTGGATACATTTCTGTTCAATATCTTCATAAATTATTTAGATAATGGCATAGAGAGTACACTTATAAAGTTTGCGGACAATAAAAAGTTGGGAGGGGTTGCAAGTGCTTTGGCGGATAGAATTAAAATTCAAAATGATTAGGACTGGAGAAGTGGTGTGAAGTAAATAGGATGACATTCAATAAGGACAAATGCAAAGTACTCCATTTAGGAAGGAACAATCAGTTGAATACATACAAAATGGGAAATGACTGCCTAGAAGGAATACTATGGAAAGGGATCTGGGGGTCATAGTGGATCACAAGCTAAATATGAGTCAACAGTGTAACACTGTTGCAAAAAAAAACAACCAAACATCATTCTGGGATGTATTAGTAGGAGTAAGCAAGACACAAGAAGTAATTCTTCTCCTCTACTCCCTGCTGATTAGGCCTCAACTGGAGTATTGTGTCCAGTTGTGGGCGCCACATTTTAGGAAAGAAGTGGACAAATTGGAGAAAGTCCAGAGAAGAGCAACAAAAATGATTAAAGGTTTAGAAAACATGACCAATCAGGGAAGGTTGAAAAAAATGGGTTTGTTTAGTCTGGAAAAGAGAAGACTGAGAGGGAACATGATAGCAGTTTTCAAGTACATAAAAGATTGTTACGAGGAGGAGGGAATTGTTCTTCTTAACCTCTGAGGATAGGACAAGAAGCAGTGGGCTTAAATTGCAGCAAGGGAGGTTTAGGTTGGACATTAGGAAAAGC